TACAGTACAGTATGAAGAAAGAGAACACTAACCTTGCTTGAGGTGACACCAAAGAGCTTCACAGCAAATGTATGTCTGCGGCCGCAAACTCGCCTAGAGGAAGCCACGACCACATGTCAGAGCAGGGAAGGTGGCCGCGGGTCGTGTTCATCACCCGATGCAGAGTTCATGAACGGAAGCAAAATTTTGCAAACCGAATTGTTCATGAACAGAAGCGTTCGTGAACCGAGGTATTACTGTATATGTAAAGGGTGCTCCAGAAAACGGGAGAGCTGAATTTATGAGAGAAGGCCTCTTTTCCAGACACACAAGATTCAGAGGACACTTCAGTCAAAAGCTGGGCAAGAACTTTTTTGTCTTCCAACAACAACATTAAAAACCTCTACCTCTTAGTGACTAAATTAAATTAATTAAATTTGCTATAGCTGGCTACTTTATTAGACTCTGGGTGTCTTAGAAAATCCAGAAACAATAAAAGCAAGCATGCATAAAGACACACACAGGGCAGCCTGAATTAAATCAGCCAAAACAATAAATCCTACAGGGCTCCACAAACACCTCAATAAACCCATTAATCCCAGGTCTGGGAACAAAGCCAGGTTTTAAGGACCAGGACTATATTATGAAATTACATAAGCAAAAAATTACATTAACTGAAGGTATAACTTGATTGGGTATGTTAGATGAGAGTTGGACATTCTTGGAAAAATAAAGTACTCCAAAATATCAGCCCCAAATCATTCTATCTTGCCTGATTCAGAAGCATTGCATGCACATAAGGCAGCTTCAAAATATGTTTTTCTGGCACAACTGGGATTTTTATAAATAGATTCACTTGCCCAATACTAATTGAAAAGTGGTTCTGGGTCAGAGTATGTACTCTCTGGGACTGTCATGTAATCAGTGCATTAAATGATCATCTGAGCACAAATACATTGTGTGTTCATTTACATTAAATTTGTCCTATACATTGGCTGGAGTTTGATGACCTGAAGTTTTCCTCCTTTCTTTTTATTCATATTTATTTATTTATTTGTCATATTTCTATGGCAGCCAAGTGACTCTGGCAGCGTACAACAAAGCTAAAAGCAATGAAATGCATGTCTCTGTACTAGGGCAACTTAGTGGTAAGGAGGCTTCTTTGGGTAAAATAAGAAATTTCAAAAGATTGGAAAGATGTTATGCATTACTGGGAACAGCTTAGCTCTCTCTGGTCATTTTACGGAGTAGTAGTTTCCAGTGACCAGCTGATACCAGAGTTTTATCCTGGTGGGGAGGGGGTGATTGGTATAGGTGTTCAATGCAGCTAAGTGTCAGCAATTGAATGATCCAACAAAGGAAGCTCTTAGGATATATAGGTAGTCCTCATTTAGAGACCACAACTGGGTCCAGCAACTCGGTAGCCAAGTGACATGGTCTGTAAGTGGAAAATCACATGACCGCAATTGTGCTTACCATTTTACTTCAGCTTTCCTTCGCTTTACAACATCAGAAAGGTAAGACCCCAAACAGCTGGGTGAGCCCAAATGGCAGGGAAACTAAACTGATGAGGAAGCTGGGTAAAAGGGCAACTCTCATAGCCCTTTCCCCCACTCCCTGGCCCCTTGGAATGCTCACCCAATGCTCGGATAATTAGCAAGAAGGGAATTCATGTTTGTATTTACATTCATTGGAGAGGAAGGGACTACAAGATAGTAAGCAGGCACACAATGGGGAATACACATCAGAAGGAATGTGCTGGCGCTGGCTTTTTACCTAGTGTGCTCACAGCTCAGAGCCCCTACTTGGGAGGCGAACAAAAGCCAAAGGTGTGAAACTGATTAAAGTCTTGTCAGTTTCAGGCAGCAGCTGCCAGCTGCTAATTAAGGTCACAGAGTTAAGCTTGTTAACTTGCAGTTAGCACTTTTTAGGGATGCACTGTGGAGAAAAGCAGCCCAGGAAGAGATAGCTTGTTTAGGCAATCTCTGCTGTGGAAGGGGGAGAAAAAAAGAACAGGCCAGGCACAGGACAATGCTTACTGACTGTGATGGCAAACATATGACTCAGAGATGCTGTGAAGGTCATAAATGTAGGCATTGGT